CGCATTGGCAAAGTATGAAATGCACTCCTAACTTGACAGTCTGCTCAAGAAATTTTCGGGGTTTTTTAGCTTCCCGCTTGAAAAACGATACTTGAGCACAGGTAACATTTCGTCAGAGGAGTCGCTCCGTTCAACCCTTTGGCAATAGTAGTACCCAACACAGCCCACGCTTCTGTGCGCAAATCGCAATCGGGAGCACAAGGTCAACCAAAGCGGATCTTTTTATCAACGCGAAGAAATCGTGAATGTAAACACGCTGCTGCGCTGGTTTGTTAACAAATGGTCAGAATCTCGTCCAGGCAAATGTGTTTTGGCGGATTGGTGCCGGTCATGTTGAATATTGTGTAGTATCCTAGGGCACAGGGGTTGGTTAGAACGACACCTCCAACGAAATTTTCACCTGTGTCCTAATACTCGTATCAATTTTGATGCCGGCAGCTCAAAGAAACTCACATTTTCATACGCAGATTGTGAAGTTAGGAGTTCATTTCAAACTTTGCCAATGCGCTCATCGTGATTTTTGAGACATTTACTGATAGAAACAACTCTTATTTTTGCTCTAGCAAAAGTTTGCAACGGCTCATTGTGAATAGAAAACACGCTACAATATGCTTTAATCCGCTCCTTGTGTAAAATTTCATTCATACATTGTTCCTGTGATGTTCGGAATTAGTATCGTGATTGTTTAAATAGTAGTAATTTGTGTCCAAATGTTGTGTCTTACCGCCAAAAAGGTTTTTCGCGTGATTGTGAAGAGACCAGATGCGCTCACGATCGGAGGAAAAGATCGGAGAGCTTGGAGAAATACCTTGATCTGAAACTGGAGAGTAAAATTAAGTCAAACACAGATAGTTTTAAGTCATAGCGTGGAGGCTATTCACCTTTCTTTTCCATTTGAAAGGAAAGCGTTTGGTGTTTTATACGGTATCTTATATTATTTTCAATAATTCATGCTTATAAAGAAAACATCACTTAAAAACCACATACGTATATAAATAATTATGGAAACAATCGTGAAATAAGATTATAATACATATATAGTTAGTTAGTTAGTTATTTTATTTACAGACATTCAGAATCCTAGGCTATTAACATTTTTACAAAGAATCTGGAAGATGGGTGTATATACAATCGTATATACTTCTTAGGAAAATAGTGACTATAGATTTACGAGAGAACAAAACGGCAGGAAAAGTTACATTAATAAACGTGTTTCGATCAATTCACGTTTTTACTTTTCAATCAATTCATTTCGATCGAATCCATACTTTCCGCCTCGTCGAATCCATAGCCTACGCTTCAAAAGGGTTCCATGATCAAATGAACCTCGTTTTGCTATTAGGAACCACAATTTCTGACTTCGTTTAGGGACAACTTATGTACTGTTAGTTTCCTTATGCACACAAGAGTTTTTACAGATGAGCCAGAAATTGTAGTTTCGAATCGCAAAATGTAGTCCAAATGATCACTTCATTTCATTGCTTGCTTAGCAAGCCTTTTTCGTTGCTTACGAGGGAGCCTACACGTAAAAGCCGCCTTACTTGCATGCTTTTATTTAAAATTATTTATATAAATATGCAAATGATGAGAAGAAAAATCGATTTTTATGTAATGTTTCATCATTCAAAAGGACAATAATTCCTACGAAACTTACAAAAACTTCAAAATCGTATGTTGAAAACCGCTGATCGTAGCAAACACAGTACGGCCGGTGCCGCTGGCGCGCACGGCGAGAAACTCTCAGAGTAGCGCCTTACAAGACCGCAGGATACTTCATGCATTGCGAGTACAGCACGGTGCGCGCTCAAGTCACAGCGTGGATGTTATCCACCTTTCTGTTCCATTTGAAAGGAAAGCGCTTGATGGGTGATACGGTTCTTTTCAATCAATGGGTCTTACCCTTGAACGTCATGCAACCGGAATAATATAGAGAGAATTCATTTGAATTTGGTTAATTAATAACCTTTTATTAAGATGTTATAACCTATCGGGAAAAAATAGACGTCGTCGCGTCGTACGTCTGTAGTGAGGCTATACAATGTCCTGCGACTCTGTTTGCGACATTGCAAACTGCTTAGCCCATTCATTTTTTTATTATTTTTTTATTTATTTATCCATTTATTTATTTATTTTTTATTTATTTTTTTTTTTAAGTGGAGGAAAACCACTCATTCTCAATATCGTCAACCATTCTGCAATTTTCTTTGTTTGTCCAAACAAATCTGCTTAGCACGCAAAATTTTTTACTCGATTGCTTTTTCTGAAAACTGTTGAGCGAGAGCTAACATTTTGATTCAAATGCTCTCAAGTTCAGAATTGAAATGGTTAATCTCTGAAGAATTATATCACAGCTTGCTTGGTTTTTGCTGTTTTAAATGATCTCAGAATTTTTATTCTATGTAGCTGTTCATTATTTCTCTGAAATACTTTGACAGCTTTTACCTCGAAACCAGCCATCCGTTGCTCTTTGGTCGGTCGAATGAATAAAAGCTGCAACTGGAAGTCTTCTGTAGCCTGGTAACAAAACAAAAAGTAAAGAAAGGATTTAGGTAAAACTCATCCGATGGTGCTCTAAAGCAAACAAACAACCCCACTACCCATTATGAATTTTTCACACGTATGGTTTAAATTGTTTTGAAGCATTTTGTTATCCTCATTTTGGAGTACAGTAGTGAGTAGAAAAAAGTCTTATGAATAGATTGCGATACACGCAAGAGAGCTTCACAATAGGTTTTAAGATTGTTTCTTTATTTTATTTCAAGTTTACCTCTACCTCTCTCGTACTTGAAAAATGTCAGGCATATTTTTTAACAATTCAATTGTTAAATCAGCAATCCAATTTTTCCGTGTCGTTGGATGATATGGACATTTTTGATAAAACTGCAACGGTTGGGTTAGGAACCAAATTTATTGGGGTACTTCCAAACTTAGAAATGTTTACATCATCCAACAGTTGGGGCTTAACCCCTACCCGTGTTTCCGCGTGTCCTTTTCTACCGTGCTAAGGAAAAACGCCGTATTACCATTCAATAGTTGCCAAATTTCCTTCGATGAATTGTTTATTTTTGAAGAAAATTATGAATATTTTTCCTTGAAATTTTCAAGCACTTTAGATCGAATTATAAACAAGATTTTCCGAGAGATTTGCAGAAATATATCCTAAAATTTTCCTTAAAATTAGTGATTTGCAAGAAGAAATTTGACAACGTCTGAAGGCCCATCCGGCGTTTTTCCTTAGCACCGCAGTTTTGGCCTCGCATCTAGCAGCTTGAGACCACTTGGACGCATTTCTATCAAAGAGAACCATGTGCAGGTGAGAAATATGGGGTGTGCTCGTCGAAGCTGGATAAGAAACAATGTGGTCAGTGGGCAAGATTACTTTTGAAGAATTGGAAAAGCGGAATTTTAAAGTGAGCAAAGAAAACTGTGTGCCAACTGAAAGCGGAATATATGAGCCGCGGGCATGGCAGGAGAGCGTTGTGGACAGGGCTCATGAGTTAGTGACCAACGAGGCGAGCTGCACGACGGCATCCATCTCCGTTGACGTCACTGGCGCTTTATTATTCTCATTCACTCTTACGGCCAGAGAACTGACGAGCACACCCCATATTTCTCACCTCCACATGAATCTGTCTGATAGAAATCGTCCACTTCTTCATGCGCGTTGGGTGATTGCTGAAGGGCCCTCACGCATTTTCGGATGGTGTATCCGGTGTTGAAGAAGAATAGGAGGAGGGAGAAGAGGATGACCAGCTTCAAGTGATATCTGAAAGCCCCGTCGAAGGATTGGTGTTCGAGGATGGTGCTGGGCGCGAAGGCGAAGTAGACGGAGACGAGGAAGATGCTGCTCATGACGAAGATCCGAGTGACGAGCGTGAAGACGAAGACGGTGCCCAGCTGCTGGACGAGGCTGCTCAAGCTCAGCCACAGGAAACGCAGGTCGTCCGTGTGCTTCGCCGTCGTCTTCGATTCTTTCAGCAGCCGCTGTTCAACAAACTCCCATTTATGAGCAGAGGAAAATGGACTGTGTAGATTATGAACTGGAATGGACCGAGGAATGGGGGGTACGATAAGGAACAAATTGAATGAGATCGAATCCAACGAACTCTACAAAATCTTCAAAATCATAAGTTGAAAACCGCTGACGCCGCAAGTTTGAAAAATCGCATCAAACACAGTGCGGCCGGCGCGGGAAGCATAGTAGCGCCTTACAAGTCTGCAGGATACTTCATGCATTGCGCCTATCCCACGGTGCACACTCACAATCAGTTCGTTGAAAAGCCGTATTTTCTTGGCGCCGAACTTACCGCGGTGTACACATTCTCCGAATAGTGCACACCGCGAGCTTGCAATCCTAGGACCGCAGGATTGTAAAGATTTTGCAATCCTGTATGTTTTCCGGTGAAAAAGTAATTTTCCCGGCCGCTTCGAGAACCTAGTCCGCTTCTGATCTTAACTGCAAGGAATCAGAAATTTGGACGATTTTTAATTTCTTTTTATTGATGAAAATAACAAAGAAAATAGAATGAACGAAAATATCGGGTTGAACTTTTCTTTGACTTTTTTTGATATCAATTAGGCTCTTTTGCTTCTTTGCCCGGTTTTACGGTTGGTTAAAGGGAAAATATGTTTCGTTATTGCAACGATATTATAACCCGTGAAATTTCATTTTTATAACTGAACTCAAGGTGTTTTCTCTCGCAGACAATGAAAATAGACGTACTTTGAGTGGATGTCCTACCTGTCTGACCTCTGCTTTCAAATCCTCTATAATGAGTCGAAGGCATTGAGTGTTGACGTACCAAAATCCAGCCAGCTCCCATGCGCAAGTTGCGTTGTACGTGTAGGATATTTGCTCGACGACCCTCTTCCAAGTTATGCTTTTGGCAAATCTCAGCTCACTGAAGAGACACAATGGTATAAACGTGCACCAGAAGTGGGTCATGTACGTCGTTCTCTCGAAATGTTGTAAAATGGTCTTGAAGCGTTTTCCCGTCACTCGCTGGTAATGAATCTAAAACAGTCGAAATAAAAGTCATCATGAACAGAAATCGGAAAGCCCATCCTTGTGGCCGGAGACTTCTGTTGGTAGAGACCCCCAACTTCGGCTGATCTTCGAAAGAGCCTCCCAAAATAAGGGCTGATTTTCGCCCCTTTTTCGGTATTCGATTCGACCATCAAATCAAGGTTTAAGTGGAAGCTTATAATAACAGAAAACTCAGGAAAAAATTCAAGATGAGTATAGGAACCGTTTTCGAGTTACGGGTGGGCAAAGAGGTCAAACTCCGGCCTTATTCTTCGCTATTTTCTTGTTGAATTGATGCGTCTACGGGGTTGTTATCGTTGTTTACACATGTTATACAAACCGATTCCTGCGTATTTTTACACGCAAAATCGATTTTTAATGTTGACGAGTCGATATATCGATCGGTTATATCGATTTTTTAAGATTCTCAACGAATCAACGAATTTTTGAGATTGAAATTCTTCATTTTTAGATGGTCTAAATTTTTACATTTGAAGAGGAGCCGATGTATTTCAATATCTGTCATGAATTTCTGTAATTTCATGAAATATTTTACGTAAAATTTCAAAATTTATTTTTCATGAAATTTTTCCACCGTGCAGACTTCCCGTGCTTCACTTGGAAGCCGTATTTCGCGGAGACTCAAACGCAAGGCAAGGAAAATAGGCGGCTCGCCATGACCGTCCATTCCCGTTGGACGCTGCCCATACGCACAGCCAGGCGATGCCACTAAAATTGATAGACTAAGCAATAGACCAAGAAGACGACGGGATAATAGAGCGATCCTATTTGTAGAAGTGATCGATTGTAGTGGAAAAAAGAGGCAAGTAATGGACCAACTAACGGCTACCCACGTGAGACCCTATAGGTTATCCATCATTTTCCCTGTTAGTATGTAACAATCATCCGTTTCAATTAATAAGATCGCTCCTTTTTCCCTCTGCCCTATTGTCTATCGTTTTGTGTATCAATTGAATTGCATTTTGCAAAAAGGAACCACTAGCATTGCAATGTTGCTAAGATCGTGCAACTTCTTTTGTCTTGGAGGAAATACCCGATTATCCATTAATAGTTTCTATTTTACTCGCTAAAAACTGTAAATTTAAGACAAAAATTACCATCTAAATTTCATAGTTTTTCACGATTTCCGCAATTTTATTGCAAAGGATGAAGTTGCACAATCTTAGCATCATCGCAATGCTAGTTCCTTTTTGCAAAATGCAATCCAATTTCACTAGTCAACCCGATGAAAGGGTTCCGGGGATTATATCACGAGCACAATCGGAGCCCCGGAGTAATTGAAATCGTTTTGCCGCGTTTATAAAGATTAATTTATCAACATTTAAGGATTAAAATAGGGAGTATTTAGAACGACAAATGCACACAGTGGTCGTGAAGCAAAACAAAAATGCGACTAAAATGTACCCTCAAACGGTTTGCAGGAGGTGAGTCTATGGTACGTGTGAACTTGAAATCGCGGAAAATCAAAATCTTGGCTGATCCTAATTTTCAGATACCGCAATTTGAAATTTTCATCCTGAATACAAGTTTCCTACTGATTTTGATCAGCTGTCTTCTTTATTTGTCCGTGGAATCTGTGTTGATCGGTTCACGTTTTTATTCTTCGTTCGATTTATTTCGATCGAACACATGCCCTTTCGTTACATGCAAACTCCCTATCCTATCATACTATTTTTTTTAAATTAACAATTCGCCTTCATCTGCGTCTGCAGCAATTGTAGTTACGAATATGTTGTGCGTGCTTATCTCATCTAATTACATACTTGACTCTTTGAAGGCGTTTTATGTGCACAAGTAGCGCAATCTGTCGGAGAAAGGACGAAGTAGGGATTAATCGATTCGTTCAATCTCACTTCTATTGTTCTCCAACAGGGTGCTCTACTTTCGTTGACCCAAAACCGCCGATGCGCGGTTCTACGTCTCCGCTTTTAGTTGACCTCATAGAGAAAAAAAAGGAGGTGTTTGCATCTTGAGGTTTGTTTACCCTGTGAAGTAGGTCGGTACAACCTGGCCAGCGATATCCGGAATTTGAAGCATGAAAAACGGACCATAAAGTCTGATTTTTTTACTTAAATCAACTCATAATATACTGTCAAGCACTTTTTATAGAATGACTTTTTTCCATAAATCACACCATTTCCAAGAATATCGATGACAAAAGTCGCCGTACCGACCTACGTCATCAAAAAAATTCCAAGATGCCCGAAATGCAAACACCTCTTTTTTTTCTCTATGAGTTGACCCTATGTCTCAATCTGCATGAGGAAACTAATTGTACATTTTTTGTTAAAATGAGCCAGAAATAGTAGTTTTTTTAGCCTGAAAATGTAGCTAAATTGGACCTACCGCTGAAAGGAACATGCTCATATGTATTAAATCAAAAGGAATCATTCACGTAGGGTTTACTTACTTGGCGGTTTCGTTTGGTCTAACAGAATGGGACATAGTCCTTCTTAGCCGAAATCCTCCAATGGACCACTAGACAAGGTACGAATTTCAGCATTCTGATACATGTTTCATAACCAAAATTTCACGTAAAATACGATACGCACGTACAACGAAAATAACCGAAATCAACTCCTTACGAAGATATTTAATGATTCCTGATGCGTGAATTCAAACCACCCGCTCATGAAAACTCAATGCTCTACGTGAATCACATCGCGCGCTAAACGTGTATCATGACAATCTCTGCGATATAAAAATCTGGCAACCTCAATCTTGACGCTTTGGCTCAGCTATAGCAAATAGCTTATAGTTTGAACAACACATGATGGGAAATGAACATTGCTCGATAAAGAAGATTGCCGAAACCGTTGTAGTGCGCGATTTGACTCACGCAGAGCTTTGAGTTTCTTGTGAGCGGGCAGTTCAAATTACTCGTAACCAATGTGAAATAAAAACGTTAATACCTTCGTTAGGAGTTGGTTTTAGTAATTTTCATTGCGCGAGTCGTGTTCTACGTGAAATTCTGGTTAAGAAACATGTATCAGAATGCTTAAATTCGTATACCTTGTCTAGTGGTCCATTTTGGATACTTACTTGAAGCATGTGCCAATCCGTGATGAAAGCGCGCGAGCGGGAAATTTCCAGAGAAAACGAGAGGAATTTCGAGATGAGAGGCGCCGTCGTGAAGGAGTCGAAGAGCGCGGTGAAGACGTCGTTGAACTTCTTGGCTTCCTTGATCCGAGCCACGTTGTTGACGACGGTGAAGGCGTGGATGCAAAAAGCCGTCGTCAAAACCACCATCGAGTATATCGACTCCCGAGATGTTGCTCTGTATTCAACGCGCTCGCCTTGTCCTGTTATCACGGAGACACCATTCCTTTTTTTTTAAAGCTGAGTAACTATTCATAATTACAGGCAGACGCTCAGTACCACCGCCGTACTTTTTCAGAAAGAATATCTTTGAATCGCCTGTTTTCAAAAGGGAACAGATCCATTTCTCAACGAGTTTTAGCTAGCATTTCCTTGCTTCCTTGCTTTGGCATGCAAGCCAAGGCTCGGGCAAAAATGGACTTGTTCCCCTTTAAAAACAACTGACTAATTATGTTGAACTAATATTTTTATTAGCAGTGTGAATATATTCTTGCTTACGATATTAATTAACTATACGTTACTAATATTGTTGTTTTTCTCTGTTTCAGGTAAGTAACTCAACTGCGTTCAGATACATATTTTTCACATTCCCGCTTTCTCTCATTCTGTAAGAGTGGTGAAGAATGTACTCCTTCCATTGTAAGTTGATTTCTAATAATTTCGAGTTAGGTTCCTGCACATTTTCACTAGCAAAATGTGCCGTATCTTGGCAGATCCTGACCTGAATCCTCAAAGAAATTGCGAGAAGATGCGAGTTTATTCCGTCTATTCCCGCGGTACCCGTCGTTGGGGGCCAAGACAAACTGTTGGGACCAGTCGGAACGCCTTCAGTTATGCTTGATACTTCATCTCCCACACGGGAGTCGTGTGATCAAAAATCATTGTGCACCTGGTACTTACTCGTAGGATCTTTCCGTCGCTCACCGAACATTCATGAAGGATTGCAAGGTTTTCCGATTGCGTGCAATCGATAAACCTTGATGGAAATTTTTAGTACACATTATTTGGTCAATGCAACTTTTGGAGATTCGTGCAAGCGAATGATCAATAAAAAATACTGAAAATCTAACTCGCACCTAATATTTTTATTTCCGAGCCCTCGAAACGCGCCCACAAATAAAAATGTTTCGTGCAAGTGAGTTTTTAAGTATTTTTATTGATACATTATTTATTCTGTCATCTTCCTCAAAATTGATCGCTTGACGAAAAGCTATGTTTCGAGAACACAAGGCATCCGTGAATATACTTAAATACACTCGTGTTGTTGTATTATTATGTTGTTCAAGGCCGTAAATAAGGAATTCAGTGATAGCGTTATCATTGAAAGTGAGAGTAGGGATTACGGATGTACGCGAAAATTGATGCTGTGCGGATTGTATCAATTTGTGAAGTCAACTCGTGCTCGTCCTCTTGTGCGACACACTAGGCTAGAAGAAGACAGGCTTTTACAGTTCAATGTGCATAACTCTGGAGTTAGTACCGATAAATCATAATTCATTCGGAGATCGTTTTACCTACCATGGCCCTTGGCCACTTACAAAGAAGGTAGCTAGCTCCCGATACTTACCTGTTTTCTTGAACGTAAGAGGCATGAAGCCCAGAAGGAAGAGAGACATGTAGCTAACTTTAGTCTTCTCTAGGTAGATATTTTTATCATCATCGGAGTAGAGATCCAAAGTCGTGTAATATCGCAAACGAGGTTTTTCCACGTCCTTTGACGTCTCACGACTGATTTGGAAGACCATTGCGGAAGCGCTCAATTGGAGGGAGAAAGACTCTTCTTTTCAGATAAGTTTTGATTGAGACGTAGGATCATAAAAAAAGGCGGAGATGTCACTGCAAGTGAAAGTCAATGCAAATTGGACCGCGTTAAACAGGAAGGAACCAAGCCAAATCGCCAAATTTAATTAGGCAATTTAATTTTTTACGTGAAAATGGTTGTGGGGATTTTTGTGAAAATGTTAGTGAATTTCTTGCACAGTACGAAGCAAATTCGTTAAAATTTTCAAAGGAATCCGCACAAACGTTCTCTTGTAAAAAAATGAATTGCCAAGTTGAATTTGATAATAGCATGATGTGGCTCGGTTCCTTTCTACTAGATGCGGTCCAAATATGGAAAAGTGGGCATCCAAAACGTAGGAAGTGACATGGGGGCGGAACGAAGAAAAATATTTCTGACGCAAGCTGACTTTTGCTTTAACTATGAATTTTTGCATCTAACATTTGTGCGGACTTTCGGATAGCATTTAGCAAAAAGGAACCAGCGCGATTACAGTGTTGTAAAAATGTTACATCTTCGTAATCATCTAAGAATATCCTCTCGAATAGCAAATACGTCTTACTTCTCAACAATAAAGTTGTTAAATTTGAAGGAAAACAATTCTGTGATTTTGAGTACTGTACATATATTAAGGAGTTTCAAAAGAAAATAAGAAGTTGCAGGAATTTTAGAACACTGTAATGCGCTGGTCCCTTTTCGCTAAATGCGATCCATTCTATCATGCTTGTTGTATCAGTAACTCAATGTTGAAGCTTTCTGGCCGCAGGTCTCTCTTTACGTGGAAGGTCATAAATATTAGTCATCGAAAAAAATTATTTCGATTGGAAATACTATTATTAGAACATGGTGCCATCTCTAGGTCATCAGCAGAACGGCCCTCGAGTAGATCAGGGACTCAATTCTGCATTTAGCCAGGAGCTGCATATTGATCATTCTCACATTTATTTGATTAACCATGCCGAAAGAAGTTGGACATTTTTGTGCCGACTCAACCTCCGAGAGTCGTCCAAAAAGTAAATCTACCCATTCAATATCTCCTAAATTAACACAGATAGAGAAAACCAGCAACAAGCATCAAGAAACCTTTACTCTCAGCTTCATATCGCGTTTTAAAGCTGAGATTAGTGGCTTTTGAGCGATTTGTGCAGATTTTCTCTGTCCTCGTAGTTTAAGAGATATTGAATGGGTAAACCTACTTTCTGGCCGACCCTCGTGCTTTTAATTAGCTACTTTATGTTGTTTTTCTTCTCATTCTTCAATTTTGAAGTTTATTCCTCTCATTGAAATCAAATTAATGACTTCACTCTGTTGTTAATAATTAATAATTTGCGCGGATCCTCGCTTATATTTTAGTTGAATTTTAGGCCTCCAATAATCACGCCTCTGTCAATAATTTTAATGATGAGTATTTACGCAGAACTTTTCTTACCATAACATCCTTCTTTCACCGCAGTAATGACATGGAAATGCACCACAACAGTCCGTTTCGCAGGCCTGGTGATTACAACCCTACAATGTGCCTCAATAATGAATCTACCCGAGTGCCCATTTATGTAAGCGTGCTGTGTGATTGGTTCGAAAATTGCTATTTCTAGTCGTTTCGATCTTGAGGAGGACGCATTATTTTGACGAAAAATTGCGAGTGAAGCAATAACGCTTGTCATTTTTGTGTCTTTTATTCAATTTGTACGCCTGCTACTGAACGCTCGCTGGCAGTCTTGCGAAGAGTGTAATTTTCTCCGGACTGTAATTATCCGCAAATAACACTCTTTGATGGGACACTTTCGATTATAAAGTAATCACATATGTAGCGTTGTCAATTTGTATAGAGTATTTACACTTTTTTTTAATTGATACATGTCAGTTTTTCGATTTTGCTTGGAGGTGGATATCAATGTATGAGCGGTGTTGTTGGTTGTAGAAGGCACATACTGTGAAGAAAATGCGAAGTACCTGCTACCATATCGACGGCGCAAGTCCGCAATCACGTAACTCCTTTGCGGTGTCTGAAAATCTCCACCTCAATATTATTTTTTTAAAGGGGAACAAATTGACATCATTCCTTGAAGTTTTTGCAGAATTTTCTTCGTTCAGAGAAGAAAAATCTCGGCAGTTTTAAAGAATTGCCTTTGAGTAGTTTTCCGTTGAAAAAGTAAAGTATGATAGGAAGTCTGCGACGTCGCAAACTAAGTTATGTGATTGCCGACTTACACTATCGATAGCTATCGATTTAAACGGTATGATCGAGATAAAAATACAAAATTTTGATTAACCGTCTTTCAAAATGCCACTTAATTTTTGAGCCCCGTGTCAATCGTGTGTTAAAATTTTGTCGCCCGTGCCTATGCCCTTTTTAACGATGAATAACAATGTTACGTTTTCTTTTCCAATAAGCTTTGGTCGCCGTGGGATTCTTTGGGTCTTAACAGCACTATCCTATGCTAGAATTCAAATTCTGCATTTTGATATTATTGAAAGTTACCTACAGAAATGTCTGGCCAGTTTGAACAACCTCGTGAAGATTCTGTCACTATGCTCGTATCCAAAAATAAAGGAAACATTTGTCATTTTGATTCCGAAGGAAAACGTTTATTTTCGAATAAATCTAGTATACATACATTCTTAAAAGCAAAATCAGAGTTAAAGATAAATCATAAGGACATTTTTTTGATTAAAACAAAAACTATTTACACAAAAAAGATAATAGGAGCACAAACCATCAACAAAGATATCACAAACTTAGTATTTAATCATAGTTAAAAAAATAAATTAACGTATTTCGGTAAGAAATTCATCATGAAGGGTCCTCATAGTATCTGCGTTTACACGAAATCATGATAAAATGTAAATAGATCGCCGTTATTTATCCAATTTGAAATTTTTGAATCGAAGACAAAAAGTTTTAACACAGACTTTTCATGGATACACATTTTCTATTCACGATTTTTTAAACTCACAATTTTGAAGAACGACTTTTCGATAACTCCTAATTTCGTCCCACGCTTGAGCCCTGTTTCATATATAAATCCATACTTTCTGGGGATCATGCGGAAATTGAGATAGGTCTGTGTCACACCATCAAAATACTCCATCAAAATTTCAAGTTCAAGTGCTGTGATTGGTCCAAGTCATCGAGTAAGCCAATCACAGCACCTGACCTTGATATTTTGATGGGTAGCTTTGATAGTGTGACACAGGCTATTCGCCCTTGCGTCAGAGGCGACGATGTGTGATGTTACAAATGTATGCATTCTTGGGTTGTGATGTTAAGTAGGATGACAGGAACAGACATTAGATAAGTACCAGGCGGATTAATCTCTCCAACTACTTAAAATGATAATAACCCCTTCAGATTTTTCAAATATTTTCCGATGGAAGTTGATGTTTTCTGAATAAAATAGTCATGATAATGTAATTTGATAAATTTTGCTCCTCAGGAACAAATTTTAGTAAAAGAAAAGTTTAAAAAAGAACCGGTGGGCTGGTTATAAAAATTGATGAACAAAATAAGATATGGGATCCCATTGGTAAAGAAGGTGGTTGCATTATACGAAGAGGTGTGTAATAGACTAGCTAGTGCCAATCCGGGAGGGACCCTGTAGTTAGTCCATCAGTCGCCCCTTTGTCTATGAGAACCACCCTTTTCAACCTATATGATCGCCAAATTCTCTCTTTTTCGCCTCTGTCCATATTTTTGTCTATCGATTTCGATAATCAGCCCGCTTTTGTAGATAATCCCAAGTAGCAGTGATCGCTATAAATAGCGATTTTATAGGTTGGTTATCGCGATTATATCGGTGGCAATAAATGAAGATATTATCGCATTAAAAATTGCGATATATGGCGATTAAATTGCTATACAACGCAATTTTTGGTTCGATAAAATCGTGATCAATTTTCGTCGATAGAATCGAGATTAAATCGCCATTTTTCGCGATTTCATTGCCGATAAAATCACAATTACAATAAATAGCGATTTTTCCGTTGAGAAATGCTATTTGGGATAGTCCGTCTTATGAACGGGGCCCTCTGCTGAGATCATCAGAAACTAATTCGTGAAAACGTTCCTCCAATTTCCTGACACTGCACACTTTATCACATTGATTTTTGTAAGACTTAGAGGAATCTGTGTTGATTGATGGAAGCGTCGATGACTAATCGATGTTGATCTTCCTGAAGGACCCTTCAATTCCGAATAGGTCTTGTTGCAGATTCGATTTTCCTGGGCGTTTGCTTTCGTCTGCTTTGACAGAACCCTCCGTCATAAACCAGTCTCGGTAGCTCTCCAACTTCTTGGCCCATTCATCTGAAACATACGAAGAATTTTTCATCAAAGATTATGCACTCGAAATGCAAATGCACGTAGTGTGCAAGGGTTCCAGTATTAGGTTCCAGAAAAAAAGGAATGAATTAACTGTTTTGGGAAGGCTCTTTTGCGGAAATCTTTCCGAGCACAAGCTGTAGAGCGGTCGCTCTTGGTATGCTGCCGTGCTTAGGAAAAACGCCGTATGAACCTTCAAGCGTTGCCAAATTTCCTCTGATATAATACGAATTTCCTGGTTTTATGAATATTTCCCTTCCAAGTTTTTAGATAATTTTGTTCGCAATTTCACGTAAAGTTCCTGAAAATTTATAGGAAAAATATTCATAACTTTCCTCAAAAATAAACATTTTATCGAAGGAAATTTGGCAACTCCCGAAAGTTCATACGGCGCTCTTCCTTAGCACGGCAGTTGTGTGAAGCCTGCGACAGTAAGTTTTTTACCGCCTACTCTACTTACTAATATTTATTTATTTATTTTTTGAATCGAGCAAAATTTTGCGGTGCGACGCGACGACGGTCGTCTATGCCAGGATTTGATGGCCCTCGCGAACAGTGAGCGTCGCGTTGAGCTGTGACGTCATTTTCTCAGGCATACAATCAGTGCACGAGTACCCGACACAGCTCCATGCAGCGTTGTCAAGTCTTGTAAGGTCCTCCTTTTGGAAATAGGTTGGGGTGAATCTAAGGTTCGCAGTTCCGCGTATCGCTACCATTTCGACGAATGATTACACCCAAGTTTTTCTCGGCCCGTTATGATAAAAGATCGATCCGCAAGGATTAGATACATGTCTCAACAGAGTTCGATCAAATTTTAAAGTAAAACCTCTCAAGTTTCAAGTCAAACATTTTATTCATCGACCATCGATCGCCGATGACGTCGATAGCACCTGTTTTTAGGGGTGCCAAATGTAGTTCACTCCAGGAGCGCTAAAAATGTAAATCCGTTTGAAAGTATTTCTCGTAAATGCTGATATTTGGACTACATTTGGATTACATTTTGCAATAAGGAACCACTATCTCTGGCTCTTCTGTAAAAGCGCCTATCTGCGTAGGGAAATTAATAGCATATATGTTGTTACTAAAATGAGCCAGAAAGAGTGGTTCCTTATTGCAAAATGATGTCCATTTTGCAATCATTAACTACTATGCCTCAATCGCTAAAAAAGCATGTATCCCCAATTCCCCACATAGTAGCTAATGACACACACAGTGTTTTTTTAATAAGCCAGAAATATCAGTTCCCAATGAAAAAATGCAGTCCATCATTTTCTTGGTCCTTTACAGCCCCATGAAGTGCCTTTAGTAACGGTAATTCCCTTGTATGAGCACTACGTGACTATTTACTGATCATCACTCTAGTTAGTATTGATAGCATTAACGGCTTCATCCGTAAAACAGTTGCAATTGGTGACGTCACATGATGATCTTCAGACGTTTGTCTGTGACGTCACGATGGTCAGCGCTAGCGGAGCGGGGAGCTGAGGACCTTGACATCAAGCCACTAATCGGTTGTTGGTTGTTCTAGCGAGCTGTGGCTCTCTCCGCTGCTAAACAAATGAGCATGCATGAATTCAACTCAACACTCACCTCTGAGCTCATTCATAGTCTTCTCATACGTGCCGCCGTACTCCTGAGGAAGGACCTGCATCGGGATGTATTTCAATAGGTCCTTCGATTCCGACAGCGCTTGAGTCTGGAATCAGTCGACAAATCAATTCAGTCTCGTTCAATCGTCGATGAATACTTCATTTGAACGTATTCCTGCCAAAAGGAATTATATGCACTAGGACATGAGCCGTGATATGCATATATTCTTACGGGCCTCACATAGCTCCTTTTAGCATAAATACGTCCATTTGAACGTAGTTCTATCAAAAAGAACTATGTGCATTAGGACGTGAACCCTGATACGCATATATTCTTATGGGTCTCAAGGCTCGTGTCTTAATGCATAGTTCCGTTTGGCAGGAAAACGTCCATTTGAGCTGTAGCAGAAATTACCGAATGTTTTAAAAACGCAAGGAAAACGCAGAATGGTAGGTGTCACCACACCTACCATAACTTGATCCATAGTCTTGATTTTGAGCTGATTATTAAAATTTACAGACGAAGGACCAGACAAAGATGACAAATGTGAAAACAGAGCGATCTTATAAGTTGAAGCGAATGGTTGTTACAGGCTAAAGGGGAAATTATGTACTAACGGAACCGCGTTAAGCAGAAAGGAATCAAGCCACATCAGCTATTGCCAAATTTAATCGGGCAATTTAATTTTTTACATGAAAACGGTTTTGCGGATTTTTGTGCAAATTTCAGTGATTTTTCTGCAAGGCACGAAGTAAATTTCTTAACATTTTCAAAGGAATCCGCACAAACGTTCTCTTGTAAAGAAGTAAATTGTCTACTTAAATTTGGCAATATCTGATGTGGCTTGGTTCCTTTCTGCTAAACGGGGTCCAACTTTAGGGCCCTTTCATGGGTCGCTATTAGTTTAGTTAGTCCTTTGCCCATTGCAACCACCCGATTCACCTATAGCATCGGTCGATTTGGCCGTCGCTTTTTTGTCTATAGCCTTGTCTATCGATCTCAATAATCAGATCATAGCAGAAATCACCAAATATTTTGTGAACGCACGGTAAAAAAAATGTATTGCAGGTAAAACTACAAGTATTTCTGATTTTAAGCTCAGTGGGCTGGTTATTGGAATTGAAAGGCAAAGCTATACACGACCACTTAAAATCAGTAACTGTTCCAGTAAGTTACCATCGCCGTTTTTCCTCTATTTTAATCCATCATAATTAATCTATCCTAGGTGCCTCGATGTATATCGACTGTTTTCTATACTTTTTATGACTGAAATCACTTGCACGAATTGCCCTTATTTTAAGTTAAGCTAAGTTTTGCTCAGCCAAATGTGTCATTTAATACGTTTTTAGTTCCAGTAAGCTCTTCCAAATTTTTCATGTGCAGCTTTGTCGTTAGGCAAAATGTTTCCTTGAAAATTTTAAAACCACCCAGCGCGACAGACCAAGAAAAAAAAAAAAAAATCTTGCCGACCCAGGTCAAATACGGCCGAGGTTCGTTCCCTCGATAATCTACATATCGTACCGTGAGAAAGAATGATCGGCTGTTACTTCCTACTTTGGAATTGGCAAATTTTGATCATTTCGATTACTTTTATAGCTTTGATCGAGTGTCAACGAAAAATATCCTCATGAGGTGCGATGAGGAAAGAAACCATTAGTTTTGCCTGCAACGACGAGTTTTTATGGTCACAAAACGAGGAATAAAAGCGTTGATCACTACTTGGTCAGTGGAACGGCGATATTGGTGGGTGTGGCTGCGTGTAACCCAGTCTCTTTTTTTACGGAGGTAAAAGTTCATTCTTCCCTCCAGATCTTTACCTTCTCTTTTTTATGATGCGAATGCAAACTTAACCAAATTATCGCATAAGTATTCCTTACTCTATACGTAGATATTTTTAAGACTCATATCGATGGTGAAACTACCAAACCACGTATTTCGTTCGCGATGTTTGAAAATCTCCGGTACCATTTTTTTTTTCTTCTTTTTTTGGAAGAGGATAAATCAATTTCATTCCTTGAATTTTTCACAGAGTTTTTCTCGATCAGAGAAGACTAATCACGTAAGTTTTCAAGAGACGTTGAATAGTTTTCCATCCAAAAACATGGCAGGAATTCTGCAACGTCGCAAACTGAGACGTGGTCTAGTAGGTTCACCGTCGATATGATTTTACATGTTCCTAAGTTTTTCTTTTAGATTTCAATACCAAATGAATCAGGCATAGTTGGATCATTTTAAAATTTGGAGAAAAGCATAATTTCAATTCAATCTTTATCGTATTTCTCCAAACCATTATCGGGGGATTTTTTACTTCCCAAGCTTTCAAATTCTTTCATAGCACAGCGGGGTTACAAGTCCCTGAAAATTCTGCAAATCCTTGTAAAAATCAGGTAATAGTTAAGGAATTTTGCCAAGAGAAGGAGAGACAAACATTGATTCATTAAAATTTTCGGGAACTGCCTCGCACACACTTCGATCGAAAGGAAAAATTATAAAATGAGACTTCATACTCACTCTGTCGGCCACTTTCTTTTTCGCGAAACTTTTAGCCAAGTTGATGATGGTGTCAGCGAATGAAGGAGCATTGATTATAAACACACTCTTTTGCCGCATCGGGCTAGCATTCTGAAATAAGGATACCAGAAGATTAAAACCTGTATGTGCCAGGATTATTGAGTGAATTCATATTTTCACGTAAATAGAATCAGTATCTTTGAAAAAAAGGAAAATCTAGCTCTCAAAATCAATTTTTTTTTTTGCATTTTTGGACTGTGCGGTTGTCTTTACGATACTTTTCGAGAAAAAGCTGGCAGTCCGCTTCCAGGGACACGAAAGGTAGACGTTCAGAAACGCAAATGTCACGCAAAAAGAACGTCAAAAATGAAAATAAACAACGAGTTTGAAAAATTGGACTTCCACCCTACTGAAAATCACTGATTCAATATCATTGTCATCAAACCAAAAGGCTTTTCCAGTTGTTTCCAACGCATGATTGAAATGATCTCAAAGTTAAAGGTTTTTTTTCTGTAATTCTTATTCACTACTTTTTTTCTTATCTAGTACTCTTTATCGCACTATTACTTCATCGCAAATCGATGCAAAAAATGATAATAAAATAAAATTCACAATCAGCCTCAAGTGGCTGATTCGCACACTTCATTCCTGCAGTGGTAAAAGGAGACTAAGGAAGGCGCGGGGATACGACCATTACTGCTCGATGGATGAGCGTGTTGCATAACTTTCGTAATTGAAGGCGCTCCAGTTTCTCTAGCCCGCGGAACTCGTAGCTTACATAGCAGAACGTGCCACGCTTCGTGCCGCATGCCGTTGCAAATTGAACGTATCACTGCTGAACCGAACTAGAGATGTGTGAGAGAGTGGAGTGTGCTCATAGTGAGCTGAATAAGAAATATTGTAAAAGTGGGCGTGATTCCTTTTGGTGAAATTGAAAAGCGGGATTTTACATTCTGCCAAACGGAACTGATTGTGAGTGCCATGTGACAAGAGCGTTGCGGACAGAGTTCATGAGTTTCAGAGCCTCGTCCACGATCCCGAATCCGTCATCTCTGACGTCACTGGCGCTTTATAATTCCCATCTCATTCTTACGGCCCTCAACTAACCAGCACACTCCTTCTTTCCCACCCGTCTCTGGTTCTGTTCAGTAGAAATACTTCCAATAGATGGTGTTAGACGTTCCTTTGATAGGGAATTACCGCCTCTAGATTAATATTATACATAGTCTCTAAAATTCTGACGCGCCTTATCAACACATGACCCTCTGGCCACAGTTTTTTTTTTTTTTTTTATTAATTGAGGAATGTACAACCACCCCTACTGGGGTGTCAATTACAATTTGTTTAATGGTTCTTAATTACTAGTACTTAATCTATTTAGATTTAAGACTGTTTTTTTTAAATAATAAATTCATACTGCATTCACCCCTTGTTACTTCATTACTACTTCCACATTCACTCTTGGATTCGTACAATAATATAAAACAAAGTTACAAAAATATATAAATAAAGCAAAATTAAACTTGCACATAAATCGAGAGAGCCAAATTAAATAAATAGTAAATATTAAAAATAAATGTTTACATAAGATAAATAAGTAAACTGGCTCTACTTTTATTTCTATTATGATGTTTAGGAGCTATTTCTCACTACTGCAGACGACATCTCTGACAGATGTGTGGGATAGTGGTGATAGAGTCACTCCACAGTTGGTGACTGTTCTATAATTCTATGCATATTTTGTTTAAGTGAATGTCCCGGCGGCTAGATCGCAAGGCTTGTGCCTCTTAAGCCGCCTGTAAGGGTCATCCAGTAATCCCGATGTGAGAGGGTTCGTGTGCACACCCAACCTAAAGGCGTGTCTCGAAGCTGATCTCTCAATGATCTCTTTAACTGACTCAACATTGAGTTCTTCTCTTATATGCTCATTGGTAACAAACCAGGGAGCCCCCGAAATCACACGCAGTACCTTAGCTTGAAAAGCTTCAACAAGGTACCTGTTAGACTTCCTGGCACATCCCCAGAGTTCACACCCGTAAGACCAGATTGGCCGAAGGACCTGCTTGTAAAGCAAAACTTTATTAGGAGTTGATAGGGTTGAGTTCCTACCCAGTAACCAATACATTTTAGAAAACTTTAGGTTCAGTTGTTGTCTTTTCTTCTTAATATGTTGTTTCCAGGTAAGCCTGGAATCCTGTTGTTTCCAGGTAAGCCTGGAATCCTGTTGTTTCCAGGTAAGCCTGGAATCCCTGGCCACAGTAGCAAAAGCGCCATGCAACGTCTAAAAATTTTCGCCGCCATTTTAATTTTTACAAAGAAATTGTTCCATGAAGCTGTCTGGAAATTTTGCTGAATATTCTTTGTGCTGCCAATAAAATTCAGTAAAATTTTCCAATAGATTCAACCGCAACAATTTCTCTGTAAAAAAAAAAAAAAAANAAAAAAAAAAAAAAAAAAAAAAAAAAAAAAAAAAAAAAAAAAAAAGGCAGCGGAAATTTTTGAAACGTCGAATGGTCCTTGTGATACTTTGGCCGGAAAGTGACGAAATTGTGTTAAGAGTTCACTACTTGTTTTCCTTGCGGCAGGGAATTCCAAACTCCCGTAACCAGTGTAAAATTAAAACGTTAATATCTTGGTTAGGGGTTGATTTCAGAAATTTTCGTTGCGCAAATCTGTTCTTCGTGAAATTCTGAACAAGAAACATGAATCAGAATGATTTAATTCGCACTTTCTCTAATGGTTAATACTCTCCCTATACCACTGCCGTGCCACAGTGGATCGAGTCAAGTAGAGACGTCGGACTATAATTTCAGACTAAAACTGCAAATTTTGATGTTTATTTTGGGTGCTAGGTCATTTTTCCTAATTATTTTTTTCCTACTGCAAGTTTTCCTAGTACTTTTTTCCTACTGGTTTTTTGTCCCATTACAGTAAGTCCTACGAGTGAGATGTCCCAATGGCTTTTTTCCTAAGGGTGTTTGTCCTAATAATGATAGAAACGTAAAGATGAGTATGGAGCAGAGAGAGATTTTTCCGTCCTAACCTCGCAACTTGTATTTGTCTCTAGGAGACACCCTCGCTGATAACCTAAATATTTGATAACCTTTACTTTTCTAATAAATTCAAGCGGTGACAACTGTTTTGCTGACAACAAAAAAAATTTTCCGTAAAATCCCTTTTGTAAATTGATTGTTCAAACACCCTTAGGAAAAAAGCCAGTAGGACATTTCACTCATAGGATCAACTGTGATGGGACAAAAGACCTGTAGGAAAAAAGTACTAGGAAAACTTGCAGTAGGAAACAATGTTTTAGGAAAAATGACTTGCCACCTTATTTTGTCCATTATTTCAATGGGTGCTGTTAGAGGAAAATTTGACGAGAAAACCAGAAGAACCACTTTTAAAACCTCAAAGTTTTGTATGAACGGAGTTATAAGTGTTTAAAGTTCCAAAATTTTGTCCGACCTCTCCAATTGACTTGTTCCACCGTGCGTGCCGAGGAAGAACGCCGTATGGCCATTCGAGAATTGCCCTATTTCCCTTTATAAAACATGCATTTTTGACAGCATTCATGTATATTTTTCTTTGAACTATTCAGATATTTTAGATTAATTTACGTACAAAATTGCCTAAAAATGGAAAATAATATTCACAATTTTCCCAATAATTTCGGTTTTTATCGGAAGAAACTTGGCAACGTCTCAAGGCTCATACGGCGTTCCTCCTTAGCAAGGCAGTATCGTCACTGGAACTTTGTGGTAAAGAGTAAACTTACGGATGCGCAGTAGATGAACTTCTTGACTTGAGGGAGGGAGGCGGTGAGGTGGCTCATGGTGCCGCCGCCGAGGTCCCAGACGATGATGTCGCCCCGACAAGTGTCTTCGCGGAGGCGGATATCGGTGGACATGAAGCAGACCTTGCAGAACGCCAGAGGGTCCAGCACGGCCGGGTCCGTGTTGAAGAACTTGAAAATGCTCACACGGTACCCGTCTGGTGTTAGCTTCGGCAACGGAAGGAACAACCTGCAATTCAGAATTATACAATCAGAGTGGAACACCCTTTCAATTTGAAAATAGGAAATGGGTCAGTTGCACTGGTCACGTTTTCATTCTTGATTCTTGTAGAGCAGCCACAAACAATGAGAGCTGTCCAAACAGCAGCTATCTACGTTCAGTATTAACCGAGATATCGCGCTTTGAAAAATTTCGTTCATGACGGCATCCACAGCGGATATGACACCATTGGTTTTTTCCCATAAGGTCTGGGTACACGATCAAATTCCGAACCAATTCTGATCAAAGAAGACCAGTTGATGACTGATGGTCACCATGTAACAGTCCTCAATGATCAAAATTGGACGGGCAGTCAAATTTTGACCAGAATGGAGTGACATTCATCATTTCCTGCCGCACGAAACATTGCTACCAAGATTTCATTTTAAAATTAAGCAAATTAATGATGTAAGATTGATCACTCCCGACACTTTGATGGTAATTGGTTCGGGAATTTAATCGTGTATCGAGACCTATAGTTCCACCTCGCTCTCATCAATCAGACAGACATACATTTTCACTGTTTCATCAATGTGAAACTCGAATGAAAGCAAGATGGAAGAAGCCGATGAAGTCACTACCGCGGCGGATGACTTCATAAAGTGCATTTTTCAAAGCGCGATGTCTCGGTTAATTTTGAACGTAGGAAGTTGCTGTTCAGACCTATCTTATTATTTGTAGCTAATCTACAAGAATCAAGAATTAAAGCACAATTCTGCAACCAGCGCAACTGACCCAGTCATAGAATTGAGTTTTGATGGTTTAAGCTTATAGATCAGCAAAAGAAAATTCGATTTGTCCAAACATCACGTTTCTACGTCCAATGTCAACAGATACATTGCTTATCAAAAAACTCGGAATAAATTAGATAAATTTCAAACCAAACCGGATATACAGGGATTTGAATTCGCACCTCCATGAGCGTACTCTCGCGAAAAAGGAGACAAGTTTAAATTTTTCCATGTTACAAATTCTCCGATTGTAATGCACCGTTACCCTGGTAAAAATTGACAGTAGAAGCTGTGTTTCAAAATACCATAGGAGTTCTTATAGCACACTAAAGATGGCTGTTGAAAATCATATAGCTGACTGTAGAAAGCGGAGCAAATCATATAGCCGGGCTATACGAAGCTATGAAAAAGTATACAGTCGGGCTATAGTTCCTATCGCCGGGCTTTACACTTTATCGCCATTGGCTATAAGAAATTGTGTAGAAATTCGTGTGCTCTGGAAATCATTAAGTTTGATACGGAACCACCTTAATATTTACAAAACACACGTTATATTTTCCTTTAATACATATTTTTTTTCATCAATTAAAATGAGAATAGTCCATACAGAGTGAGCAAACATCTCAAAATCATGAGTTGAAAAACGCTAACTCCGCGAGATTAAATATTAGAGCCTAACACAAAGCGGAGCGGCGACGCACTAGCGCCCACAAACCTAACAGGGATACTTCTCGCATTGCGCAATGCGTGAAGTATCCCTGTTAGGTTTGTAGGCGCCAATGCGCGTTTCGCGCTGGCTGCCCGCCGCGCCGCAGCGTGCCACGGCGCTTGAAGCAACTATTTCACATCAGAGGTATTGCACAGTATCATAAGAAATTGAAGGTGCTCCAACATATTAAGAATGACAAGCATCCTTCAAAAGTACGGAGCTTTTCTCGCAAAATAAATCAAAATACTACGGTACAAAAAGAGAACGGTAGTCCAAAAACTAACTAAGTCCTAGTATCCGTAATTAGTAACGTTTAGCATAAACTTTATCGTCCGGCTGTTGCTTAAACGCCATCGGCTATAAATGGCTATAAGAAATTGTACAGCCGGCTACAGAAGCTATTGGAAATCTTACAGCCGGCTTTAGGTCTATAGTATTTTTTAACACACATTCTACTGCCAATTTTTACCAGGGTAAGCCCTCCGTTTCTTTCTCCTGCTCTCAAAGAAGTATGAAGCAGTTTTGGTCAAAATATCAAAATTCTATTTTTTTTACTCTAAGAAAATTCTCTCTATCAAAAATCATGTCACCATGGATCGTCCCGATTTCTGTAAGTTTAAATCAGTGTTTGTGTCTCTCATGACCGCCGTAGTTTTTACGGTTAGAGTGGATATACCGCATTGCCAACAGTGTCCCAAGAGTTTGCTTTTTCCCGACAGAAAGGTAGCATCAATCCGGAATACACATAAAATGCCCCATGAGAACAATAAATTAAGCTTGTCAGTGTTCTGTCACAACTGGTTGCGACCAACCGATGGAAAGCACAAGGCAACGCTTTGAAGATAGATTTTTGGAGTAAAAAGTGAACCCTCGCACAGAGGACAAGGTTGCAGGCTCAACGTCTCCTCTCTAATAACCTCGTGAAGCTCAGTTGATTCATTGCAGAACATCGTGTAACCGGTTGCGCTTGTCTCAGTTTTTGTCACTGCTTAGTCCAAAGACAATATATTTTAGGAGCCCCGCACTTCCTACTCAAGCATTATACTACCGTCCTTAAGGAAGTACATACAGTATAGAGTTGTAATGTAAATAGGAGAGCTGGCGCCACTTTTAAGCAATTCCCAGGTCCCGAATTCTGAGATTCCTGAGTAACGCCGGGTCACTTTTTCGATGCATGATCGATTGTTTGCGGTAGACGGGGACCCGGCCATCTGATGTAGGAAAGAGGATAGGAATTACTAAACGTATTCTACATCGAAATTTTGAATCGAAAATGCATCGAAAAAGTGACCGTAGCTCGGCGCACACCAAGCTCGAAATTCGTCGACCGGAACGTGGCGCCAGCTCGCCCATTTACATTACGACTATTATATATAGTCGATGTGGCTTTCAGTACAATCGACGCATTCCAGAACTATGCGAAACTGGCCACTCTCAATTCATCTTTCTCTTTGTACTCTTATTTGCAAGCCTCTCCACGACGCAACATGCGGCCGCCGATTTTGCTCAGTTTTCTCAGTTTTCCCTGCGTTTCCTTTGGCATTTCCTCAGCGACGTCGAAGATGAGTGCATCGGGGACCGGAGGAAAGCTGCCCTTTGCACAATTGGCCCGACCTCGGGGCAACGGGTATTTCAAAAATAGCCTTCGTCGACAATTAAGCGTTCCTCCGGTGAGCAAACACCGGGCGGCGTCGAGTCAACAGCGCTGTTTGTTTGCCGCCACGGTAAACGCAGCGCCGGTCACCGTGTGACCGAGACCCAGCTAAGACCCCCGCCCCAGTTCTGCCGTCCTAAGAAAAACCCCGTATGAGCCTCCACGCGTTGCCAAATTTCTCTCAATAAAACACGAATTTCCCGGTAAATTCCTGAATATTTTCCTCCAAATTTTGCAGATAATTTTGTTCACGATTTCACCTTATGGTCCGGAAAATTTACAGGAAAAATATCCATAACTCTCCTCAAAAAAAATTTTTATCAAAGAAATTTGGCAACTCTCAAATGTTCATACGGCGTTCTTCCATAACACGGCGGAGTTGGGCAATGCCCGCGTCCCACGTCCGGTGTTTGACTTGCATCTGATTTATTTTGGAGCTCCACCGCCCAAACTTCACTTGAAGAGCTCCTCAGAACACGATCGAAGTACGAAATCTCGCAGAACGGACCTACTGCCTCAAACCACTTTGCACAGCTCTAGAGTACATGTAAAGGGGGAGTATGGAAAGCTCGATTCATGCAGCTCTTAGGGCCCAAAATGGCGACAGCGTAAAAAACGAAAATCACTAGAAAAGCGCTGCTGCCAACCTACGCATTTGAAATATTAATCAATGTGACAGACAGCGCATTGCAAACAAGCGTCTTTAGGGATTACGACTTTGAAATTGAGAGAACGTATTCGAAATCAAAGTTTTATACGTGCTTGCGTATGCGATCCTTTGGCCGGAAGATGACGTTATTTTATTTTCTAAAAGAACGATAATGCAGTCCAATTATTTTTAACATATTTTTTATTTATTTTTTATCAATTATCTCGTTCCATTCGGCTTAGCCAGCCAAATTTGGCAGTACAATTTATTTTTTAACTTTCGATGTCACATAAGATGCGATCCCTCATGAAACCAGCACGATAAACTGACTCTGGAAATACGGCTATTCCAAAGTAAATCGGTTGCATTGTGACTCATCGAAAGGGAGGAGTCATCGAACCCCGAAAATTACGTCACCCGGCGCCGGCGCTAAAAATTCTGATCGGATTCAGAATTCGGGCTGCTCCGGTCACCGGTTCCAGCGATCGGAGTTGATTATTCCGTTTAATGCTGCGGATAATCGTTCAATTCGGACGTCGATATTTTTTAATTTCGGTTTCGGGCGGGAGGGACCGGACCGGGTGCCTCGCATCACGCAACTCATTTGAATAAGCGGAGAAAGTTACGCTTTTGTAACACTCGGCCCTACAGCACAGCAACTCAACTCGGCTTATTTCGGTACCTGCAATTTCGGTTTACTGACCCACAGAGCTTAATCCGCCTGCATCTTCTTAGGACGACTCGATTATCTCAAATCCTCGACGAACTCAACCACAAAATCTAGAGTACCTGTATAGCAAGAGTATGGACAGATCGCTTCATGGAGGTCTTTAGGGCCCAAAAGTGCAGCCATCCCTCTAACCAACTTCTACCACACACAATTTCACTGTCAATCTGCAGAGTCTGCAAATTCCAATTCTAACCAAGATGGCCAAAAATGTACAGAAATGAGCGTTCTTCCGCAAAAATGAGTAAACTTATGCAAAAACTGAGTCAAATATGTGCTTTTTAAACGACGGTTCGTAACAATAGTATTAGTAAATCGTTCTGGATAATTGAAATTCATAGGTTGGCTGCATTTCTGGGTCCTAACTTTATTCGCAGAAGCATCGGTGAAGGCCTGATGGATTTTCGGAGTTTCACATCTGTTCATACTCTTGCTATACAGGTACTCTACCACCATCCGCCTAACTGCAGTTAAAAACGATTCAAATCAGCGAACAGAACAAAATTACCATAGTGCATTTTTTTAAATATGTAATAAAGTCGTTGCAAATACTCATTAATTCATAACTAACTAACAAGTCGCTCTCATGGCGCTACTGTGCGCTCTGTGACACCCAAGCGCCACTGATAGCGATCCTACCAGAGCTCCTTTGGCAGATCGCATCTCCTCATTTCCTGCCTTATTCCCTTAATCCACGATTTGGCTGCGTCCGCTCATTTGTTGATAATTTTCTTTTTATTTTGAGGAAAATGTGAATTTTCTAATCCTCACTAACTAACTCCTAACTAACTAATCCTAACTCCTTTCAGAAATCACTAATCCTCTTTTTTTCCTTCCTCTCATCAACACATCCTGAGAAAATCTCCCATTAAGATTCGCATGTCAGGTTAGCGATAAGACCATTCACACCTCTGTCTTAATTAGCGATTATTGCGGGAGGAAAATTGTCCGCAAATTACTATGTAGCGGTGACTCAAACAATTTACGCATCATGATATAATTCTCACGCGTCTAGAATCTTATCACAAAATGATAATGCGTTTACTTTCTTTTCTTTCTCCAAGTCCTTGCTGTAAAGAAAATATTAAATCCATGGAATTCCTGTAAAAGCTTATAAAATAATTTTATCAATGTTTTCGGAACCAAACTCTGAAATTCAATGAAGTAAGTAGGCTTTTAAACTCCTTTCAGATTTTCTTAAATGGTTGTATTTACTTACACTGTTCGGAGGGATTGTTGGATTTCGGGCCTAAGAGGGTCTCGGTTTTCATAGTATTCAGGGGCTGCCCCCCTGAGAGTGTAGTACATATCGATGACATTTTTGCATTTTTCCACGCTGTTTTTGCATAGGATCAACACGTGTCTGACGAAATCGTCACCTGAAACAAATAATACATAATTGACGATTAGTATTACTGACTAAAAATCAAAATGCAGCAATAACACCCCTTCATATTGCAATTAGGAAAACCGAAACAAAACAACTTAGTGACTAAGGCTAAAGTACAATCTGCTCCAAAATCCCATTTTTTTGGTTTACCTTGTAGTTTTGACAGCCACATTCTTACGTTTTCAACTTGCGTTCCCCTTCGAATAAAGTTCTGTTAAGTTGCAACTGCATGTCAATGGACGATCAGGATCACATAACCTCCTCACTTTTTGACCATTTTTTTTGCGACGAAAAGATAAAATAAGAATTCATATCAAAGCGACAAAACGTAGCCACTGGAGCAAAAAGGAACCAGCGCGATTACAGTGTTCTAAAATGTTGCTTCTTCGTAATCATCTAAAAAATCTCTCAATATAGCAAATAATTTTTGCTTCCTACCAAAGAATTGTTAATTTTAAAGGAAAGTAATTGTGTAAATGTTAATACTGTACATATGTAACAAGGTGGAGAAATGGTGCTGAGTCCACACCATTTCCCGGGGTAAACGAAGCCGAGAAATTCCAAAAAGACTCCATTATTCATTAGAGTTTAAAAATTTTATTTTTGACTCTAATTATAATTTTTGGAATTTCTTGGCTTCGCTTTCCCCGCGAAATGGTGTGGACCCAGCACCATTTCCCCACCTTGTTACGGCCACTTCTTAGTGTTTTCTTTTCTCATACTGTACATATATTGAGTATTTTTAAAAGGAAAGGAGAAGTTGTAGGATTTTGAAAACACTGTAATCGCGCTGGTTCCTTTTTGCCGAATGCGATCCAACTTTGAATGACCGAAAAAATTGCAAAAAGGCATCTCGAAAAAGAGAATCCAAATCTAAGTCAAGACGAGTCAGGTCATTGAATCGTCTCTCTAAGAACCGATAAAAACTGCGAGGACTAATCCATGTAGGCAGCCGACGCCGCACGCTGCAAAGCCACGAAATTATCCTAAGGTGTTTACGCAACAACATAATTCGGCCACCAAGTCGCGTCCGGATTTCAGTCTCAAACACACATCAATTTTTTGTCGAAAATCATCGGAATTTCTCCACCGCATCAAGCTTCCCGTTCGACAGGCTGCACTTTGGCGCTTGTGACATGCTTCTGCCACTCGCGTATCTCGCCTTCCACGTGAGACCTGGCCCCGCCATGACTCCATGCTTCCTAGGGCCCATGTGGCAATAGAGACGCGCCTTTCCGCAAAAGGAGTTGTTGAATCCGCATGAATCCGTTGACGTAAGAGGGCTCGTCGATTCTTCGAAAACGCGAAACGAACGTAAATTCAGAACGCTCTTACGTCTTTTTCGTAAGGCACAGAGAGAAAAGCTTCATTCACAAAGACTGAACTTTAATTGGATTGCATTTTGCGGAAGGGAACCAAGAGCATTCTAATTTCGCTAAGCTTGGGCAACTTTGTTTACCTTGCAAATATAAACTGATTATCTAAAGAAGATTCATCTTTACTCTCAATAAACTATGAATTCATGACGGACATTACCTTTGTAAATTTAATTTTTTGCACGAATATAGTATTATTTTTGCAAATAATGTAAGTTGCACAATCCTAGCAACATTGGAATGCTCTTGGCTCCTTTTTGCAAAATGCAATCGTATTAATCATGGCATGCCCAGGAAGAGCGCCGTATGAGCCCTCGCTCGATGCTAAGTATTTTCTGATAACGTGCGAATTTTGGGGAAACTTTTTAATATTTTTTTAGAATGTGGGCGATTTTGCCCCAACGTGCTCTAAATTTCAATATGAAACTCATACTGAAATTTCATCGATGATGGATCCCAACACGATCCGAAACGCATCTGCGGTTACCTCCCTGATTGATTGTAACAAAAAAGTTGCAAAAACATAGCCTGAATGTACGAATACAATGTGAAAAAGTTGTTCCTTGCAATATATTAGTGTTCCAGTAGCGCGCCCATTAGAAAAGTTTTTTTGTTATGTTGTAAAATCGGTTTTTCATTTTATTTTCAATAATTCATGATTATGAATAAACTATCACTTAAAAATCACACCTGTCTATAAGTAATTACGGAAATAATTGTAGAACGGGATTTTATTATATACTTCTTATGACATTAATGACAAGTAAATTTTCAAATCTTTACCATCTCACCGATGGCTGTGAACCGATCGACACCTAATCAACCGACAAATTAGTAAAGAACCATCGTCAATTCGATCGATTCACGAGTTTTTCGTTCAATTCACGCTTTTACTTCTCGATCGAATCCATACCCTCCGCTTCGTCGAATCCATAGCCCACGCTTCGAAAGGGTTCATTGATCGAATGAACTTCGTTGTGCAATTAGGAACCACAATTTTTGACTTCCTTTAGGACAACGTATGTGCCGTTAGTTTTCTTATGCACACCTGCGTTTTTAAGGATGAGCCTGAAATTGTAGTTTCGAATCGCAAAATGTAGTCCAAACGATCACGCCATTACATTGCAGAGCAACGAGGGAGCCTACACGTAAATGTCGTTTCACTTGCATGCTTTTATTTAAAATTATTTATAAAAATGTGCAAATAATGAGAAGAAAATTTGTTGGGTTTTATGTAATGTTTGATCCTTTGAAATGACAATAATTTCAACAAACTTTAAAAAACTTCAAAATCATATGTTGAAACCGCCGACGCCGCAAGTTTGAATAATCATAGCAAGTTTGAATAATCATATCAAACACAAAGCGGCCGGCGCGGAAAGCATCGTAGCGCCTCACAAGACTGCAGGATACTTCATGCATTGCGCGTACAGCACGGTGTGCGCGGCGGATGGTATAGCGCCTTACAAGTCTGCAGGATACTTCATGCATTGCGCCTACACTACGGTGCGTGCTCAAGTCGTTGAAAAATCGTATTTTCTTGGTGTCGAACTTACCCCAGTGTATTTATTCTCCGAATAGCGCACACCGTGAGCTTGCAATCCTAGGACCAGAGGATTGTAAAGATTTTGCAATCCTGTATGTTTTCCGGTGAAAAAATAATTTTCCCGGCCGCTTCGAGAACCCAGTCCGCTTCTGATCTTAATCGCAGGGAATCAGAAATTCGGACGATGTTTAATTTATTTTTGTTGATGAAAATAACAAAGCAAATAGAATGAACAAAAATATCGGGTTGAACTTTTCTTTGACTTTGTTAGATATCAATTAGGCGCTTTTGATTCTTTGCCCGGTTTTACGGTTGGTTAAACGGGAAATATGTTTAGTTATTGCAACTATATTATTACCTGTAAAACTTATGCGCAAGTTGCGTTATACGTGTAGGATATTTGCTCTTGATTCTTTTTTGCAAAATGCAATGCATTTCGCATGGAACACTAAAGTTTTTCGTCCAGATGATCATATTTTTCCATCCTAGGAATCGCAGACTTTAGGTGAGATAACTTAAGTCCTTAGTCGAACATTTACAGTGTTAGTTTGAATAACAAAAACTTTGGTTACTTAAACTGAAGTTCTGTTCCTACAACTGAAACTTCAGATACTTTGATTAAAACTTAAGCGTTTCATATGAACTGAAGTTGTTTTCTTCGTGGAATTTGATGACTTTTATTCGAAGCTCCTCTAGACTACATTTTGCAATGAGGAACCACTATTTCTGGCTCATTTTAGAAACAACATACATGTGATTGGTTTCCCTATGGAGATAAGTGATTTTATGAAAGAGCCAGAAATAGTGGCTCCTTATTCTAAAATGTAGTCCAACTGTCCACGGGAAATTCAAAATTCGTTCATAAAATCTCAGTAAAATCACGTTATTGATACCAGGGTGTAGAGTAATGCCCGATGAATATTTTGAGGTAAAAATACGAGATAAAAACACGATCAACATTTTTAAAGTGGAAGTATGGCAGTTTGAAATTTGCAATTTAAAACACCAAGTTGAACTCTTTAAAATTCTAATTTGTCGTTTTCCGGGCACAAAACTGCCGAATCATGATGCAACGGTACGGACTCTGTTGGCACAAAAATCAATTTAACCTCCCCTAATTTAATTTTTAGGACATTAACAGGAACGCTGGAAAATAATCTCATTGACCGAATAAAACCACGCCGGGAATTAAATTAACTTCGGACAATCACTTACGTTTTAATATAGTATGCGTTTCGATAGCTTCAAAGGCCAACGTACGGCAAGTAATTACTCCTTCCCTCGATTTTTGTGTATCCAGCCAGGGATAGGTTGTATGCGGCATGGGGGTGTACTGTTCGAGTTTGTTATCCTTTTCACCTGATTTTCGCCCTCTATCGGACTTTGTTATGATCCATTCGCTAACAGTCTAAAACTCCTCGGATGGATTTTGCTTTAAATTATAGAAATTCGTCAATATCCGACTCGTGGACGGTCCAAGAACGTTGAAAAAAAGGAAAATGAATAAATACATCAAAAGGGAGAAAAATAAAACGAATAGAATAAACAGAAAATACAAGACGCGAGTAGCCCTGAAAATCATCTCTCTGAAATATTTTTTACGATCAATTAAATTACGATCGAATTAAGATTTTTCTAATTTGAATCGCTTTCAATTGGCTGATTGAATTGATTAAGCTATTGAGTTTTCACTTCACTCGATTTTAACGACAAAACTTAGCACTTTCTTCCGGTGATATACTTGGAAACGACTCGCTGTTTTCGCGCGTCCACGATTTTTCGCAGTTTGTTTAACAATACCACACGGTAGATTTTACCACGGCATTCTCTTCCCGAGTATTCGTGTGTGGGTGTCGCGATTTTATGAGGGAAGTGCGTTAGTTTATTTCAGTGACAAGGCAAATCAACAACCGGTACAATCGTAAAACCGTCTCTCAGTTACGCTTGAGCGCACGTTTCACGTTAGGTGCGTTACTGAAAACGATGGGCTGAAGTTGAACGTCTGGCCGCTCATTTTGTCTCCATGCTTGAGCTTCGTAAGTACCCAGAATCCAATTAGCGGTGCACGCTGAAGGAGCGAATTACATACAGGCCTGCTAGATCGTGCTGTAAACAAAGCGATTTTACATCGGATTGCGCGAGATTATGCGCGAGACCCGGCAACTCTGTCCGGTGCAAATGACGATGCGTGAATAAGGACGTAATTTAACTGATTTTCCGCTGATTTTGAACTTGAATTGTCAATTGGAATGATGATTGTGCCGCTCCCTCGTGTCCGAGATGCTGGATCGCGCTGTGTTTAATCGGGAAATAATGATCGTGAAATCTATGATACCATAAAGTAAAGAAGGAATAAGAATTTTCAAGTATTATGCTTTAATGTTTACTTCTTTGTTTTGTGGGATTCTGCACGTGTGTTCATTATAAACTTGTATTTATTTGCGTTTTCATTACTTAGACGCAATTGACCCAAGTGTGTTTCATCTTGCCTGATTCTATGGATTGCATTTTGCAAAAAGGAACCAAGAGCATTCCAATGTTGTTATGATTGTGCGACTTACATACCTTGCGGCAAAATTACTGAAACCTCACAAAAAATTAAATTTACAAAGGTAATTTTTGTATTGAATTTATAGTTTTTGGGAGAAAAATAAAACTTTTTTAGATGATCAGTTTATATTTACAAGGTAAAAAACGTTGCACAATCTTAGCGACGTTGGATTGCTTATGGTCCCTTTTTGCAAAATGCAATTCATTTCATCTTGTCTGATTATATGGATTGCATTTCGCAAAAAGGAACCACGAGCATTTCCATGTCGCTAAGATTGTGCAACTTTTCTTACCTTGCAAATATAAACTGATCATCTAAACAAGTTTTATCTTTAATCCCAATAAAGTATAAATTCAACACGAAAATTACCTTTGTAAATTTAATGTTTTGCATGTCTTCAGTAATTTTTTTTCAAAGAATGTCAGTTGCACAATCCTAACAAAATTTGAATGCTCTTGGTTCCTTCTTGCAAAATGCAATCCACATAAGGAACTTCTATTTCCGGCTCATCCGTAAAGGCAACTATCTATAATCTGCATGGAGAAATTAAGGGGTCTCATGGACTAAATTTTGTGATAAGCCGCACCCCCATCCTCGGCTCACATATACAAGCACGTATCTGCATAAGGAAATCAAGTGGAGTTATTTCGTTTAGAAAACGATCCTAAAATTGTGTTACCTTATTGCAGAATGTAAATGATGATAAATGGTGTTTATAGGAAAAGCCGGCGAAATCGGCCTCGTTTTAAAAATTGTAGTCCAATTATATCGCATATTTGATTCTCCCACACATCAATCGGTTGTTACCAATCACACACGGACAATTGGATTGCATCTTGCAATGAGGAACCACCATCTCCGACTTAATAAAAGCACCTTCCTACATAGGGAAACCAATGACATTTATGCTGTTTCTAAAATGAGTTAAAAATAGTGGTTCCATATTTCAAATTGTGGTCCAATTATTACTCAACCAGGGAACCGTCGCAAATTCTTTGTTTGGAGCATCCCACCGTCCTCTGAGCTCTTTAATTCCGCCGTCATAACGAAGATAGCAGTAAGTGCATTTCTGTATGAGCCATGATTAGCACATGCTTTTATGTGTCTCGAGGTTCATCCTAGCATGCATTTACTGCGCTCTTCGCTATCACGTCAGAGTGAAGGGCTTTCTTCTCAGAGTTCCTTAATCTTGAGCGATACGGACCTATTGAAACTGTAAAGACACGGCCGTTGTGTGGATTGCATACGCGCCATTTTAAAGGCGATTATTCCGTGCGGCGGAGTGAGGAACCTCTTCGCATTCCGACGAGACTCAATTCCCAGGATTTCAAAGGAACCCTTAGACCCGCACGTATTCGACGGTTCGGCGTTTTATTATTGGAATTGAGCGTGAAATATATGCATTTGGAGGTTTTAAAAGTAATCGTTCAGCGCATCCGTTTTCCTCGAGCTTAAAACTTAGGAAATGACCCTTTTAATCAATGTCTCTGCGGGTTCCATCGCTGCATTGAATACCATCAATTGAAAGCTGTTTCCTCTTTCCTTATTTGTCGCCCTATTCGAAAGAAGAGGAATGCTTATCTCGGGTACCTTAGAGTAAAAGAAATCGGATAAGCCGTATTCTAGAAAACCCACGGTTAAAACCGTATGTGCTCACCCAAAAGAATTTCTCTATTGCTAGTGGGTTTAATCGGTTCAGAGCTCCCTGTATGGGAACGCATCGCGACGTCTGCATTGACAGTAGCTCCATGATGCAATATTCGGGATCAATGGTTGTTGTGCGCATTGCATATAGATCCAATTGAAGGCGCGCTGACTTTTCCTGCCCAGATGCGACGATTCACGATTGGGCGACCGCCGATCGAACGTTCAAAATACGGAGGTGTCAATGATAAAGATCGAAAACACATTACTCCATTCGGGTATTTTCAACTTTCAATTCATGTTTTATTTCATAATTTTTTTTAAAAAGAATAAAACAGATAGAAAAAAACGTAAATGAATGTGGCGTGGAGCTTTATAATTTTATCGGTATTTTGCAGATATTTACGATAACATATACACATATCTCTCCACATGATTTTTTATTGAATGTAATGCTAAAATGGAGCCTCATTTATTTCTCCCCCCTAGTGAAATTTGGCGATAGGAGCTGCGTTTCAAAATACCATAGGAATTCTTAAAGCCGGCTAAAGAAGGCAATAGAAAATCATATAGCTGGCTGTAGAAAGCGGAGCAAATCACATAGCCGGGCTATACGAAGCGATAAAAAAGTATACAGCCGGGCTGTAGTTCCTATCGCCGGGCTTTACACTTTATCGCCATCGGCTATAAAAGGCTATAAGAAATTGTGTAGGAATTCGTGTGCTTTGGAAATCATTAAGTTTGATACGGAACCACCATAATATTTACAAAACGCATATTATATTTTCCTTTAATACATATTTTTTTTTTTCCATCAATTACGAGAATGAGAATAATCCTTACAGGATGTGCAAACATTTCAAAATCATGAGTTGAAAAACGCTGACTCCGCGAGATTATGTATTGGAGCCTAACACAGAGCGGAGCGGCGCGGCGTGCTGCCAGCGATAAGCGCGCACTAGCGCCTACAAACCTAACAGGGATACTTCACGCATTGCGCAATGCGTGAAGTATCCTTGTTAGGTTTGTAGGCGCTAATGCGCTTTTCGCGCTGGCTGCCCGCCCACCACGCCGTAGCGTGCTACGGCGCTTGAAGCAACTATTTCACATCAGAAGTATTGCACAGTATCATACGAAATTGAAGACGCTCCAACATATTAGGAATGGCAGGCAGCCTTCAAAAGTACGGAACTTTCCTCGCAAAATAAATCAAGATCCTACGGACCAAAAATAGAGCAGTAGTCCAAAAACTCACTAAATCCTAGCATCCGTAATTAGTAACATTTAGCATACACTTTATCGCCTGGCTGTTGCTTAATCGCCATCGGCTATAAAAGGCTACAAGAAATTGTGTAGCCGGCTATAGAAACTATTGAAAATCTAATAGCTGGCTTTAGGTCCATGGTATTTTGGAACACAGATTCTACGGCCAATTTTTACCAGGGCCGTCCTAATATCAACTTTTAAATGGTATTTTGAGCGTAATGCTAATATTGACAAAGAGTTCCTCGAAGAAACAAAATTTTGAACTCCGTTTCTTCGGTTTGATCTTCATGTGCCTTTGCTACATTCAGCGGATTCGATTCAAATCTGCATCAATGAAAAATTCTTGGTACCATAATAATTCATGAGAAGACCAGACCGACCAGACTCTCTCTCTAGTGGCGAGGCGTGGATGATGGATTATTGATATTTTCCCATTTGAAGCTTTAGTAAAGAAGCAATTATTAAGGTGTTCGTTGCGAACACGCCGCATTGTGGATTGAGTCACTTAGAGAGGTTGGACGTGACATTTTCGACTAAAACTGCGAATTTTAATGTTTATTTTGTCACATTTTAAATTTGAAGGGGTGCTTGTGGCAGAAAATTCCACGGGGAAACCTGTAAATCCTTTTTAGTGCCTCAAAATTGTGTATAAACGGAGTTCGTGTAAAGCATTTAAAGCTTCGGAATTTTGTCCGACCTCTCCTATTGACTCGATCCACTGTGCGCCGTTTATCGATCATTTTCCGTATGTTTAAATGGCAGATCAATCGATGTATCGCAGAGCACGTCACGACGTCACGCGCAACCGCCTCTCCGCCAAGATTAGAACTCTTTTGGCCACTCGACAGATTAATATAATTAAAAAATCGCATGGTTCGGCAACGTGGCGCGTTATGAGCGCGAAGCAAGTGCCGCGCATGCGTTGTTATTAGATGTCATAAACGCGGCGTCGCGGCGCGGCCTGACCTTGAACTTGGCGGCGGTAGTTTCCCGCGCTCCGGCGGCGCAAAGCCGGACCGGTACAAATCAAAACCCTATTTTGGGAGGGATACGAAATCCCGTAATGACAGGTTGCTTTGATTTGTGCCCGCATTTTGAAAACCCGTTTTCATTTCAAAATACAAACCGCAAGCGAACCAATTTTCACGCGGATTTTCCTCCATCAA